CCTCCAGCAATGCCAACTCTGGGAATCTAGAGTAATAGTCTGCAATTAGAAGATAGTATTTGCCCTTTAAGTAAAAATGGTCGATTCCCACTTTCTCCCATGGCCTGCTTGGGAAATCAGAAACAATTAATGGCTGCTGGGGATTAGATCTTTCTTCAATACAATTTGGGCAGTTCCTCACAAGTTCTCCTATTTCTTGACTGATTCTGGGCCACCACACAGATGATCTGGCACGGCCTCTACATTTTTCGATGCCAAGATGACCTTCATGGAGGCTGTTTAGAACCTTTGATCTGAGGGACTTAGGAATATAAATCCTGGAATTTCTCATTAGAAGACCATCTATGACAGACATTTCATATCTGAGACACCAAAAGGCTTTTGCTTCTGCAGAAAGCTCATTCTTTGTAGGCCAGCCCTTTTCACAATAATCTTTTATTTCTCTACACACTCTCTCTTCATTTTGATATTGCCAGATTTCTTTCATATTTTCATCCTTGAATGGAGGACATGAAGTGATCTGTTGAACAAAACTACAGATTTCATTCTCCAGATCTTTCTCATGCGATATCTTAATTGGGCTTCTGGACAAAGCATCAGCAACAACAATGTCCTTGCCTGGTGTGTGATAAATGCTATATGAGTAGCGCATCATCCGAAGTCGTAGTCGCTGTATGCGTGGTGTCATTTCATCTAGATTTTTGGTTGAAAATATTGGAATGAGAGGTTTATGGTCAGTTTCAATGGAAAATGTATTTCCCATCAGATAGTCCTGAAATCTTTCACAGGCCCAAACTATTGCTAGAGATTCTTTCTCAATTTGAGCCCATCTCTTTTCAGTTTCGGACATAGTCCTGGAGGCATATGCAACTGCTTTTTGGTATCCATCTTCAGATTTTTGTAAAAGCACTGCTCCTAGTCCATATGAAGAGGCATCTGCAGACACTGTAGTTGGTAGATTGGGGTCAAAAAGTGTTAGTGCTGGAGAAGTTGAAAGAAGTTTCTTCACTTTTTCAAATGCTTCCTCCTGAGCACTATCCCATCTCCAATCATTTCTCTTTACTAGGAGTTGATTAAGTGGGTAGAGGATAGTTGAAAGGTCTGGTATAAATTTACCTGTGAAGTTCACCATTCCCAGGAATCTGCGCACTTCAGAAATGCTTGAAGGTGATGGAAACTCCCTGATGGCCTGGACTTTGTTTGGATCAGGTAGCACTCCTCTTTCTGTAATCAGGTGACCAAGAAATTTGATTTCCTTCACTGAGAAGATGCATTTCTCTTTATTCAGGGTCAGTCCTGAATCTTGAAGCTTCCTAAGGACGCATCTTAACCTTTCATCATGTTCTTCTTGTGTAGCTCCCCAAATCACAATGTCGTCCATGTGACAATTTACCCCAGATTGGCTCTCCAGTAGATTGCTCATCTTTCTCTGGAATACCTCAGGTGCAGAAGAAATTCCGAAGGGTAGCCGTTTGAATCTGTATCTGCCAAATGGGGTCAGGAAGGTTGTAAGGCTAGATGATTCCTCTGACAGGGGTATCTGCCAAAACCCACTGTTGGCATCCAGTTTTGAAAACAATTTAGCTCCTCCCATTTGTGCCAAGGTATATTCCACTGATGGAATTGGATAATGTTCTCTTTTAACAAACTTGTTTAGAGCTGTCAGATCTACACAAATCCTTAGATCATTAGAAGACGGTTTGGGCACAATGACCATTGGAGCACACCAATCCGTTGGTTGCTCAACTTTTTCAATTACTCCTTTTTCAACCATTTGATCAAGTTGTTCTTTTGTTTTATTCAAAAGTGGAATGGGTATTCTTCTGGGAGTATATATAGCATGAGGCTGTGATTCATCCTTCAATTTAATTGTGTAGCTCCCTTGGAGTGTTCCGAGTCCTGTGAAAAGCTTTGGATATTCTTCAAAAGGATTAAGCGAATTCCTTTTCTCAATTGACTGAAGTCTTTTGATTAGGTTTAGAGATTCACAGGCTTTTCCGCTCAAGAGTGGTTGCATTAGTTGAGGAACAACAAATATTTCTCCAGGGATGCTTCTCCCATCTTTTTCTATTAAAGCTGTGAATTTTCCTATTACATGCAATTTAACCTGTCTAGGTCCTAAAAGTTGAATATCAGGTTTGCATAACTTCTTGTGAGCAAAATTTTTAAAATAAATCTCTTGGGGTATTATATTTACATCCGCTCCTGTATCCATTTTAAAAAGTATTTTAATCTTATCTACTTTTACATAAACCTTCCAATCATTTGAGTTTTGTCCATTCTCATAGATATTACCAACAAAATGGTAGTCATCACCTTGGGTGACTTGTCCTACTGTCTTATTGTAGCACACCTTTGCAAAATGTCCTACCTTTTTACATTTATGGCATTTAACTTCTTTTGCAGGGCAGTCTTTATGTGGATGGAATTTTGAAGCACCACATCTTATACATCCAGATTTTTCAGGCTTGCTCCACTTCTGAAATTTACTTTTCTTTGAAGCGTCTCCTTTCCCATTTGTAGAATTGAACCTTCTTGGTGGTAACTTTTTTTCATAGACTTGGTCTACATTGGCAGCCTGTGTTGTTGTTGATCGAAGAATAGTCTGTTGTTGCTTCACACATTCTGTCTGGCAAGCAGCTTGGATAGCCCTTTCCAAGGTCAAGTTAGGCTCTAGTTGCAACTTCTCTGAAAGTTGTAGATTTTTTTACTCCTACAACTATTCTATCTCTAATCATTTCTTCTTTCAGAGATCCATAGTTACAATTTTCGGCCATTTTGTGAAGCACTCTTATGTATTCCTCGACAGCTTCTCCATCCTGCTGATATCTACGATTAAATTGTGCTCTTTCAAAGATGACATTTCGTTTACCTATAAAGTGCTCTTCAAATTTCTTAACAACTGTTTCATAATTGTTTATTTCTATTTCAGTTAAATTGAATGAAATTAGAGCATCTTCGGCTTTTTCACCTAATATGTAAATTAGAGCATTTACTTGCTCTTCCTCCTTTTTAGATTTTAACTCTGACGCTTTTCTAAAGCGTTCAAATCTTTTAATCCAATTTGGCCATTCATTTGGATTATTAAAATTAAATTGTTCTGGAGGATTTATATTTTGCATTATTTTTTTTTTTTCGTTGTTTATGCAAAAATAATTCTTTTTGTTTTTACTAGTAATTAGATTAGGCTTAGGGCACTATCGCCAATTCGCTGCCACCATGTATTGTGTATTGCCTTGTTATAAATAAGAAGATACTCTTACCTTAAGGATTATCTCTTTAATCTTATTTATTTATCTATTTACAAGGTAATATTTAAAACTTAGAACAATTACAGCTATGGCGGAACTTTCACCAGCCTAAGGTAAACAACAACAGTCAATGTGATGATGATCGTAACGTACTCTCAACACATCGGATATAAAGAATTTTCGCTTATAACGAAGTGATTTGCATGTATAAATTTTTATTTTATCCGTTTATAACGAAGTTTTCTCATTTACCATTATAATTGACTAATATATTATGCATAATATATATATCAAATTACAAATGCCATGTTATCCGATGTAGAAATTGTCGAAAGCATTCTTCAAGCAAAAGAAGAAGAAGAAACGGACCAAGTTGATGAAGAAGTAGACCCAATTGTCCACATTCCGCATCCAAAAGAGGTCTTGGAGAGCATTCAAACTCTGCGATTGTTTCTTCAATGTCAGGATGAGTCCAAGTCTCTTCATAGGCATCTGTCAGACTTGGACAACATCGAAAAGAGTGTTCAGCACTTGTTACTGACTTCTAAATGTCAAAAGAAAATCACAAACTACTTCTCCAAAAATACCTGATGAGGTTGTTATTGATCTTTTTGTTGCTCTTTTGAGTTGAATAGTAAATAAAATTATTTGTACAAAACATTTTTTTTTCCAACTGCGGATATAACAAACTTCGGATATAACAAAGTGATTGTCATGGATAATGCGACTTCGTTATAAGCGGAGTACACTGTATTATATTTGATAGGCTAATCCCTTAATAGAATGTTAAAAAATCAATAAGCTTGAGGGATGAGTATCTTTAGCAAATAAATTTATTTCAAGCTTTCGGGTTCAACCGCCCTTCGAAAGGAAAATTACGCGTAATTTTCCTGTCGAAGGGCGGTTGAGCCCGAAAGCTTTGAATAAATTTATTTTCTAAAGATACTCATCCCTCAAGCTTATTAATTTTTTAACATAACAATTAATTCTATTATAATGTAACAATAATATATAAAAACTATTTTATTTTGAAATTATATTTTCTAAAACTATTCTATAAAGTCGAACGTCAGATGTCGCAGCTTTCCTTATATAAACTTATTGTTTAAAATATTTAAAATATTTAAAACTTATTGTTGTTGTTTCCCGTTGGCCGGCTCAAGTATTTTTGTAGATATATCAATATATATGTTATTGAAAAAAAAGAAATTTCTGTTTATTTTTATTGTAGTTTGAGGATTATGCTATGGTAATGCAATCGTGGCAAAAATCTTTAAGGTATAATAATAAAAATAGTATTGATCAGTAATTGCTTTAAATGAACTAAAAGAATATATAAAAAAACATAATTTGATAAAAGTACTGCCTGGCTTATGGCGTAAGAATCGAAAAATGAAAAACTTATTCACATAATGTACAAAAAGTTTGAGCCGGCCATCGGGAAACAAAAACAATGAATTTTTATAGGGGAATCGTGATCTCTGGCGGTCGATTTAACAGAGTATTTGAATCTATGAAATATAATTTTAAATAAAATAATATTTTAATATAACATATATTTACTTTTATTTTGATTTTTCCTAACGCCTTAAGTCAGGTAGTACTTTCTCAAATTCTGTTTTCAATATTTCATTAGCTCAATTAAAGCAAATTGTGATTAAAACTGATCTTATTTTTTATCATACCATAATGCTCATTTACTCAAAACCTCAAGCATTAATAATAATATCTCACCAACAATATATTCGCTGTCCTGTGGCCCAACGGAAAAGGCGTTGGTCTTCGTAGCCAAAGAATGTAGGTTTGACTCCCATCAGGATCGTTATTTTCTGGGGGCTCAAAAATCATCTATTTTGGTTAACAGCCCCGTAAATAAAGATATTTCCAACAATATATATTGTGAAATTAGAGGTTTACAAAAACAAAGAAATACAAAGAACGATCCGAAAATAATATTTTTGATCCCTCGATAAAAGAATGCGAATCTATTTCTTCAAGCAAGAAAAAATGATCCAACCCCACCCACTCATTCATCGGGTAACTAGACATTCCGAGTTTAACCCCGGAGCCATAAAAACTGGAGAAATAATAGAATTCTTTTACAAAACCGCGCTCTGTACCAATTGTTAAATAAAAAAGAATTTATTGATTTTGCGTTTATATTTCAACATTCCTTTTTTTATCTTTGGCTTTTTAGCTCTTAGAACCATTGTGTGTTTTTCTATTGATGGCGTGGTTAGACATTCTTTCTATTGGTTTCTAATTACATTGAGATCTTAATGATTAGTTGAAAGTTAATTCTATTTTAATGGAATTCTCCATCTTGGAATTCTATCACAAGAAAATTTTAAGACCATCTTGAAACGTTGGAGATATTCAAGGTTAACAAACTGATGGTCTTTGATGAGTTTAATATATATATATATATTTTGACTCGTGCTTTAGATGTTATACTAAATTTGAAAAATGTTGTATATATATATATTAATTAATTGTTACCACAGAGTGTATGTAAGCTCACAGGTAAATAGGCGCTAACTGTAACGAAAAAGTTCCTTTGTTTCTTAGTTTCCTTTTTATGTATTATTCTCTCTCTTGTAAATCAATAAATATAATGTTTGATTAATATTCTTGGAATTAATTCCGTTAAAAATTCTAAGCCAAGTCAACAAAAAATCTTGTGAGAACGCCCTTGCATCCTATGATAATTTGTAACGCCTTGCCAAATGCTTTATTTTTATTTCTCTCACAACAAACATAAAATATTTTTGCTGAAATGTTAAGAAAATAAAACTTAAACTGGCCGAAGTGTCTATTGTTTTAAGAAAGCAAACCGATAGTCAAGATTTGATTGAGTTTTTAAAATACCTATTTCTGAAAAAAATAAATAAATAAAGTGAATTTCGTAATGTTTACGTTAATAGGTAACACTCTTGTTTTGCTTAGGGGTGATAAACCAAAAATACTCATGGACAAAACTTGAGGAAGTTGTACCTCTTAGCATGTATATCGGGATTCAGACAATAACTCAAAAATATATTTGATACACAGTGATCTTTATTGAGCTTTGCGGAATAAAAACTACGAACGAAATGTCCCACTATCTATCCGATTGTATTTATATGAAAGTTAAAAGGAAAATATTTTGAAGTTCATTACTCAGATATATGTTGAACCAGTTCAACTGATTAAAATCGCATCAGCAAAGAAAAACATAGCTATAGAACTATATAGCTATCATAAAGGGGTCTTGGGGGAAATAGCCTCACAAAATGAAAGTTAAAAGACGTATATATAAAATAACTCTCTTCCCATACCCTTGATTATGTATATATTTGTTTTAAAATCTTTTTTATGCATGGCAAATCTTTACAAGGTGAAATGTCTTAATAAAGCTTTTGTTTTTGATGATCTTTATTAAAGCATAACCAAGTGTGAACAGAAATGCCTCAGTCTCTATGTCCGGCGACATCAAAAACTTTACACTTCCTTAAGTTTTGTTCATGAGTGTACATGCTAATGAGCACTTTAGCGAAATTATATCGACATTAAAATTATATGACTATGAATTAAAATAAATTATTAAACTCGGTGTGTGATTTCTTTAAATGCATAGTGGCTTCCAGCTCCAACATCACCGGAAAATGACGTGGCAACTGAAGCTTCCAACCGGCGCCACTAGAGGCGCTGTATCTCCTTCTTCCTTTTTGTTGTTAGCTTTTTTCTTTGTTTGCCTGCCCATTATGTAATGTCGATCATATATAATTATATAATATAAATATATATCTTTATTATATTCAATATCTGATCCACCCCTGTTTTAACACGTGGTAGCAGAGCGTGGTTTGGACTTCTGGATATTCTCGAGGTTAAAAATGCATCATCGTGCCATCGCAGTTAGCCCTCAATGAAAGTTACGGCATCATCATGGAGGCCATTGGTGCGACTGCAGCGATTTTGAGAAACTGAACAGCCAAAAATTCCGTTCATGGATATACAGCATCAATATGTTGCTAACTGAGAAAGATGTTTTATGTTTAAAAGTTAAGATTTCCAAGATGCTCAACTGAAGGGTAAACAGGATAGAGGTTTGGTCGTTATCGTGTTTTCGATAAATCCAGAACCACAAATCCACATCCTTGAGTGTTCATCCCCAAATGATGCGTGGAAGAATTTGTAACAAGTTTTAACCTAAATCTCGTTCGAGGATACTGAAGATAAAGAAGCAGTTTATAAATATTAAACCTATCAAGATGGTGAATCAATGTTGAACTATTTAAATAGATTGAAAATATGTACGGACCGTCTAAAAGAGGCAATGTGTTGAAGTTGATGATCAGGACATAGCAAACAGAATGATACCCAGATGATGTATTTGGGAAATGTCGAAAACTCTGACTTTACATCGAACAAAGTAAGGAAAAATATTCTACTTACAGAGTATGAAAGAAAATCTTTCAGAGAAGAAACAAGTTCAAGCCTCGGGGAAATACAAATATTTGTTAAGTACGACATTCTAATTTCTATAGAAAACAAGGAGTCAAGTGGTACGGCTTTCCCAAAATCGATCATATCGCCAAGGATTGCAGGTCATCCATCAACCTAGACTACAGGATGGATAAAAGCTTCAGAAAAAAAAAAACTTAAATTCTCTTTCGGAATATGCTTATGGCTTCCAATGCAGTTTCTACAGAATATGAATTCATTTTGGACAGCTACTCGATAAATAACGTCTGTAAGAACCGACAATGGTTTTCAAGTTTCCAGCCTACTACACGTGACCCCATCCAGACTACAATCTCCACGTCGAGAGAGTTGTAAATACCCACATGAAGATGTACTCGGATACTGTACACAGGATATCACTTGAACGACGTGCATTTATCGCCAAAACAAGAAAATATTTGCTTTCTATGTCACAAACAGAAGATTATGATCATATCAAGATTTGTAACCACAAGGCAAGAGTCTTCAGTAATCCAGAGTGATATGTAATACGAGAAGCCTAAACGGATTATACATTGTTAACTGTTAGCCTATCTAACAAGATGTCCACTTGGCTAGTTCTATTCAGTCAGAACTCTAAATATAACTTTGGCATAAAATATTTACACACATCAATGCAGACACTTTAAATAAGTTAACTAAAATAAGATTGTTAACGGCTTTAAAATTTCCAAAGGGAGGCGATTTTTATCCATATGAAAGGCCTGATGAAGATATCTTGACTAAAATGTGTTGTCTCCTATTTCAAATATCGAAAAGGTTTAAAATATCGTTTCATATTCAAAAGGATCCTCGTGGGGAATAGAACTTCACATCATATGTGTTTGTGGATTATAATAACTTCATAGAGGATATAGTTTTTAATAAAATCTTCTATTATCTATATAGCCTCAATTTGATGGACAATTATATTCCTTTGTTAAATCATAATATAGCTTAACCTTATCTACACCAACCCTCAATAATAGATCACACCAGGAAATATAATTTAGACGCGTAAGATTATATTTTAAATAAAACAATATCCACTGCCCTTACTGCAATGAAAAAATTAAAGGGAAGGCGCGCTAGTGCATCGTAATATAACTTAACCTAATCTACACCAAGATACAATAAGAGACCACCCCAGGAAATACCAGAAAAGCCAAGTTCGAATCAGTATCTTATCAAAGGAATTCTCCTGTGTAGCTACCCAATTACAAAATCCATCTTATTCTAAAACGATTTTGACAGATGAAATTAAAAATTAATAAACTGTGTCATTTTTTTTCAAACCTGAAAATTTATATTAAATATTTAATACAAAGTGTCATCAATATTAAATAGAAATTAAAGATTATGTGCCTCGCAATATAAAAAAGGTAAGTTTAATAAATAAAATTTTAAGATTAAATCCCGAACTAAAATTTTAATATTCCTCAAATAGAGACAGGGGAAACTTTACTTAATTAGGTTGGTTGGTATTGATCCAAAATTTAAAAAAAGTTTTATAAGTTTTTTTGGTTAAAGGATAATGAATATTTGTGAGAGTCTATATATATCCTTCAGAGAAAGAAGTACTTTTTATATTGGTATAAGTTATCTGCTATAATAAAAAAAGCTATAGTGGTATAAGATAAAAATAGAGAAATCCCTAATTAGATCTCTATAATATATGTGACCCAGCTTTGTTTTGCTTCTACCCCTTGGATATTCTTCTATTGTTGTTTTGTAACAAAAAGGCTTATAATATAATTATTACTATGAATTCATCATGGAATGCTACTAGCCAGAAATACGACGTCCCCTAAATAAAGCAAAGAACCACATTCACAATATTTTATCGATAAAGATTTGAATATACCGTTTCTCCCACTAATCAATTGATGTAATATTGCCACGTGGAAAATTAGTGAAGACAAAAACTTCAGGAGGAAACAAAATTTATTTCAGGCAAGGACAAACTATGAATGGTAAACAAAAGATAAGCCACGAGGGAAATTTACAGAGTAGCAAGATATAAACATAAAAATGACCACTCTGTTAATAAAAATAATAAAATTAATAAATACTTTGTTACAATATTTTTAATTCGAAATAAAGGTCGTTTTTGTGTTGGATTATTGCTAGAATAGTAGTAGCCTCTCACAGAAAATTGGATGAAAACCTATCTTAAAATGTGAGTTTTGGAGAGATTAAATATAAAATGGATATCTCATTATATTCATCATTATCATCGACTTCAGGAATTAAGAAAACATTAGCAGCTTCATATGACTCTCATCTAAACAGGTCGAAATATTAAAAGCCTATCTGAGCCGTTGGTCCATTTTAGTATGAATAAATTTAAACTATCTATTGACATTACCCTCACAAATCATCTATAGCCAATTTATTTTTTATTATTATTCTTTTAGAGTGAAACCCTAAAGCACTATTGTATATTTTATGTTATATTATATATAATTATTCCTATATATAATATTAAAAATTACAATATTCACTTACAAAGCTAAAATAAGATTCTACAATAGTACAAGTACACGATCTTATACTCCTCTTCGAGTCTGGAATCTTTCAACTCTAAAGTCTTTAACCATCTTAAAGAGTTTTTCAGACAGCCACTTTAAGAATAGTACGTGGCTATACTTGGCATGGTGACATAGCAATAAAAAAACCTCCTAGTTGAACAATAACTATACCTATCTACTAAAAGTGAACGTGTCTACAAGTGAAGTGGCTTGGACAACTTCTGAAATACCTTTTGCACCTTACATCAACTGTCTTGTCATTTATTTCACCAACGGCTCAAGGAAAGGAAGAAGGCTAACATACCAAAACTAACGATACATCATCTATGTCTTATATCTCAAACACTTATCATAATGCAGAAAATGGCGAAGCAGAGAATATTTCTAAAACTTAAACTCATACTAACAAGTTCTCTCAAGTTTAGTGAAATACAAGTATACCGTTGTAGTATACCGTTTTCCAAATTTACACCAAAAAATGTATGATGGCAAAAAAGGCAGTTAATAATTAATAATTAGAGAGGGGCAGTTAAGGTTATTATTAAAAACACTACAGAAACTCTATACTTATACCAGTTTAGCAAGAAAATTGACAGATAACTTTATAAATACACCTATCCCCCGATTTACACGGTAGATACGTTCCTGAGAAAAACGTGTAAATCGAAAATTACAAATTTTTAAAAATTAGAAATACAGACACAGTGTGCGTGTGCAGCAAGTCAGCACATAAGCTCGGGGTTCCTCGTGAGGTGTGCATACAGCGCATATGTTCAATCACAGTAGCTTTTAGTATAGTGCGATAAAAACAAAAAAAAAAACTTATTTGGAAAACCGTTTAAAAGCGAAAACGTGTAAAACAAGGACCGTGTAAATCGGGGGATAGGTTTTGTGGAATAATTAAAAGTTTGGTAAAGTTAGTAACACCAATTTATCTAGATAATTATCGAATTTCTCCAAGCTAACAATTCCCATTCCAGTAGAATAGGATTGTAGAATAGATTAGAATACCCAAACTAAGTTTGGTAATTTATCTTGATGCAATGACAAATTGTTCTATCAGCATAGAATCAATCCATAACCTACCCAATATCCCGATATATTAATCCTTGATCGGAATTCACAGTGTGAAACATATCAATTCATTAAACCCCTCTCTATGTCTATAGCTAATGTAATATAGTTCCAATTACTTTATGTATTATTAACGAACGGAAAGATATGTCCAGGGTAGCCTAGTGGACATGGCATCTGCCCGGTAAACGGAACACTATGTTAGTTCTAAGCATGATATGTTCCAGACAAGCTTCCGCACTATTGCATTTCAAACAGTTATTGAAGTTTTTTTGTCCATTTTGAAATTTTAAGGTTTTTATATGGCCATTTCTTAGTCTTTCTAAAGCGGAAAACCGTGAGTTCGATTCCCATCCCTGGACACTTTTATTTTTCCTTTAATCATTGCTCTTTACGATTCACCCTTTCATACCTCATCTCTAAGATCGGAAATAATCGTTATTTCTCCTTCAAATAAATTTTGATTTTTCGTAGAAAAGAAACACATGCGGGATAATTTTCGAATGTCGTTTTACAATCACGGGCCGCATTATATTGTAATATAGTACCATATCATTACATCATATAGAGATACGCCATCAACTAACTCGATTCTGGAAAAAAATAGTAAAATTGTACTGGGATCATGTGGAAAAATAAATAAAAAGGCATCTCCTGATCGTGCAACTAAAGAACAGATGGATCAAGCCATCAGCAACTTTTGGTTGAGTTATCAGTAGATGCCTTTTTTCTTAATTCGATTCTATTTTATTTATTTTTGTATATATATCAATTTTGTATGTAAGAGTTTATATAGGAATGGGTTTTAGTTAGAAAGGTATTTTACTATTTTTAAATTGTATAAATTGCGGTGTAAATTATCAATAAATATTATATATTTTACATAAATAATGCGTCCAAAACATTAGCCCATTTTGCCGTCTTCCAATATTTTCAATAATAAACTTAACATTGAACTATTGACTAAACTATTGACATTGACTGAATTTGCTTACCAACCCTTTGTACATATATCAATTGTGTTGATATATATATTTTTATCTTTTCATCTAACTAACTTGCATACTAATTCTGTACATATTTAAAATATCTTTCTTTCTCTTCTTTAAAAATTTTGTTTATTTTTAAAGTGCAAGTGTCCCTAGGGGGACATAGCGCTCTAAGTCGAAATAAAGAAATAGAAACTATTTTAGGATCGAATATTTTTCTTATATAAATGAAACAACTTTCTTATAAGGATATAAAGAGTCTATATTGAATAAATAGAGCAATTAAATACGAATAACATCTATACATAATGACAAAACAATTAAGAACAACTGTTTCTTTTGTAAATGAAACAGAGTTTTGATTGTTTTCATTGCGATTGACAATATACACCTATCCCCCGAATCACACGGTACTTGTTTTAGACGTTTTCGCTTTTACACGGGTTTCCAAATAAGTTTTTTTTTATCGCACTATACTAAATGCTACTGTGATTGAACACATGCGCTGTGTACACATCTCACGAGGAATCCCGAGCTTATGTGCTGACTACATATTTTAACCTGTCAATGCATTTTATTTTTATTTCTGTGTACACCTATCCCCCGATTTACACGTTTTTCTCAGGAACATATCTACCGTGTAAATCGGGGGATAGATGTATAGTAAGAGTGCATGGCTAATCAATAGTGAACCTTCCTAGCGGTTTCGTCAATTTAATCCACCACACAGCTTTTAGAGCTTTTTTTTCTTGTCCCATGTCTGGACTTCAAGTCTAGACCAGATCCTGAAGGCCTCTTTATCGCCTCGATGACCACAGCTGGGTCGGTGTAGATGTCTGTTCGGCAATGCCCGATATAATATTGTTTTACACATATACATTTACTGGCAATGCGCTTCTTTTAAATATCATCAATTATTATCTCTACCGACCTTACTGCAATAGAAGCCAAGCCCTCTCATTCAATAACTCATATCAATGCAGTAAGGTCTGTGAAGATAATATTTGATGATATTTGAAAGAAGCGCATTGCCAGTAAATTTAGATGTGTAAAGTTTTAACGATAGATGGCAATTAAATTTAATTTAATAATATTTTTAGTATGATTCTGCTTAATATTAGCGACAATGAAGAATGGAATCTTAGTTTTTGTTATATTAGCAAACAATAGACGTAATCTTTTAGGACAGTAAAATTACATATAAATATTTTTATCGAACAACGTTCTTACACAAACAATAAAGACAAATCCAGTTTGGCATAAATATATTATAAGGCAATAACACCCAATCTATGTGTAATAAATAAAACTATAAAAACGGAAGTTGGTTCTACAAATAAATCAATAATTTAAAACATATATATATTTTCAAACATCTCTAAGATTCTACGCTCCATAGAAGGGTTATTTATCAAATATTTATAATAATAAATAAATATTTTCTCATAAATATTACTTATAATTTATATATCTGTTAATATTATTAACTAAAGGCTAATTGGAAATAGCTTGAGATCATTATTACTCAGAGATATTTTAACTATGTTTGTATAGGACCAGATGTGTTTGGTTAGAGGGGTTTGTATTCAAATTATATAAATATATTATATAATGAATGTATTAATTTATCTATATAACATGCTGTATTTGTAAGGTGTCTATCTTACTTATTATTCAATACCTTTATAAATTCCACGTTTTCTAGTAAAGTACATGCTCTTGCAGGTATAAGCAACAAAATCAACACATGCTCTTACAATCGCCAAAGGCCTAAAAACCTATATTGTCATATACACGTTGTTACATTTTTATTACCTAAACAAATCCGAAATTCAATAGAAGTAAACACGTGTTCAGGGAATATTTAGAAAGAGAAGAATGGAGAGAAAATTAATTTGTAGGGTAAACAAGAGACATATGATAAAATAAAGAGGTATACAATATATATATTATATCGCGCCTTCTGTTTTAGAAAATTTGACCTACTTTGATGAGTATGTTTCTTTTTGAAAAAAGGTTCCACTGCGCCCTTACTGCAATGTTAATATTGTAGAAAAGTATTTATTATTTTATTAACATACTAGCGGGTGTACCCGGCTCCGCCCGGGTTTTACTCGAGGGAATGTTTGTAGTCTAGTATGTTGATAAAATAAATCTATCTGAATATTAGGAAAGGTCAGGTAATTATTTTGTAGGGTGATGCTCTGAAAAAGAACGCTATACCACTTTATCACTAAACAAATTGGCGAGTCAAAAATAAGCAACCTAAACAATCCATTAGCTTTGCAAGATAAGAAAAGAAATAGAGAAATGCATGCAAAATTCTCAACACAAATCAAAATCTTTAATCCTCAGAAGTAATGTATATTAGGTAGGATGAGGTTTGTTTTGTTTCTATTACATTACATCATCTTTAAATCTCAAAGCAGAGCAAAACTGGCATACCCGAGACATTTGGCCTATATCGACAGATGAATCAGCTTTATAATCAATATGGGCATTATACTGCAAACCTGAAAACGGCTTATGAGTCCAAAGCTGAATACGCTGAACAGGAACTTGCATAGTTTGTGTAGCTGCGACGCGGGCTTCAGAATACCTAAGACGGCGAAGCGAACGACGCGTCTCACTTTGAAGTGGTGTCTCAATAGCTCTAGCATTCCTATATCTCCTGGAAGCAGCCGTATTCCTACCAAGTAAACGTCGGCTGTGGAGAGGCATATTTTGAAAAAAAAATTAGATTGAGATTAATAACAAAAGCTTCAAAACCAGCAATTTCTAAACAAAGCATAAAACTTTCCTGTCTTTTTGAGGTAAAAATCAAATTTTTTAAATTTTCTATTCAAAATAACCTTCAGATATGTTGAAAAGATTTTAAAAACTAAAATCATAATATTATATATTACCAAAAAATTAATGTACAAAACCAGTTATCATTAAAAAGCTTCAAAAATAGACCAACCGCTGGATACGGCAATGAAAAAGCATGCTTTTTTGAGGTAAAAAATAGAAATAATTTTCTAAAAAACAAAATACAACCCCTATATGTTAAAAAAACTATAAATAATCTAAATATAAAATATTTAATCAAATAAATTAAAATATCTTTAAAAAAATTTGAAAAAGGACTTCAAAAAGACAAATAAATGAATCCGTAAAAGAAATCCCTTGCTTATTTAAAAATATAAATAACCTATTTTTTAGATACAACCCATATATGTAGAAAATATAATAAATAAACTGTATTTAAAAGATCAAAGCAATAATTAAAAAAATCCATAAGAAAATTTAAAAAAGGACCTCAAAATGACCCATAATTGAACACAATGAAATTGCTTGCTCTTTTTTGCGATTAATAATTAAAAAAAAACAAATATTTTAAAAAACACAACACCTATATGTTATAAATACCACAAATAATTTGTATTTGAAAGATCTAAATAATTAAATAAAAATTTCTTAAGAAATATTTGAGAAGGGCCTCATAATGACAATCACATAAACATATCAATAAAATATCTTGCATCTTAGTGAAAAAAAATAGAAATAACCCAAAATTTGTTTACAAAACAACCCATATATGTGGAAAACACCATAAATAATCTACTTTTGAAATATCTAAACAATTAATTAAAATTTTGTTAAGTTCCTCAAAAAAAAAAAACATAAAATTGAGCACATTAATGAAATTTCAAGCTTTTTAGTGAAAAAAATAGAAATAACCCAATTTTTTTTTACAAAACAACCCAACAAAGTGGAAAACACCATAAATAATCTGTTATTAAAATATCTAAACAATTAATTAAAAATTTTGTTAAGGTCCTCAAAAAAGACATAAAATTGAGCACATTAATGAAATTTCAATCTTTTTTTGTAAAAAATAATATAAATAACCTTAGTCTTATAAAAATACTAACCACGTAAGTTAGAAATAGCATATATAATCTGTATATAAAATAAAAAAGAAATAAATTAAAATTAGCCTAAAAATTTATCTAAAATATAAAATTGATCTCATCAAGTAAGGCTTCAACTTTTTTGGTATAAAATATGAAAACTATAAAATAAAAGTATCTTACCATGTATAAAAGTTATTAAAATATATATAAAAAAGATTCATACTAATTTTCCAAGAAGCGCAAAAGTGTAAACACTTTTGAAAAGCCTGAAAATTTATCTAAAAAATAAAATTGATCTCATCAAGTAAGGCTTCAACCTTTTTTGGTATAAAAGATGAAAACTATAAAATAAAAGTATCTTACCATGTATAAAAGTTATTAAAATATATATAAAAAAGATTAAAACAAATTTTCCAAGAAGCGCAAAAGTGTAAACACTTTTGAAAGTGTAAACACTTTAACTCTGTTGAATTA